CTCCGAATCTGCCGCAGCGAGATAGAAGGCATCGATCTTCGTTCGGAGTCCACGGACATTTTGATAGAAGATACGAAGTTGAGAAGAAGAATTTGAGGGAGGCATGCCAGTAATCTGTTGAGTCTGAGCGCAGACTGGGTGGATCACAGGACTACCACTTTCAATCTCAGGAACGAGTCGGTTGCGATGAACAAAAACAGCATCTTGCAGGACAAGGTCAGAGGGCCTCGATGCTTCTGGAGAATTACCTGCGACGTGCAGCGGCAACTGGATTGAACATGGTGAGGCTGGTGTGCTGTTATTGTCAATATTAGACCACAATTGTCGTGGAGCAGAGACGTAAGATGGTACTCTGGAAACCAAGATATTTACAGGCAGAGAAGTTGTTGTTTGCTGACTGTACTTGCCTACGGTTTGATTTTGGAAGACCCCCTCTCTCAACTCATGCGCAGAGCTGGGACGACTGTTGAACGCTGGCAGCTTAGGCTCGACTGCGATGAGAGGACTAGGGGCTTCCACAAGGCTGGCGGCAAGTGTGCGTCCCAGTGGCATGTTGAAGACAACAGGATGTGATTTGTTTTGCAATAAGCGGCTGTAAGCATCATACATTTTAGGAAGAGAATTGCTCGAATTATCATCGTACTTGCCTGAAATAGGGTTTTGGAAGACCCCATCTTCACATCCAAACGCAGGACCGGGACGGCTGGAGGTCGCTGGCAGAATTGGCTCGACTGCGATGGGTGAATTAGGGGCTTCCAAAAAGCATGCGGCAAGTGTGCGTCCCGGTGTCCGACTAGGGTAAACCACGAACGAGTTTATTGACGAATTACGACTAGAAGTGATAAGCGTTTCAGGGACAGAATTATTCGGAAAACTAGAATACTCGCCTGCAGTTGGATTTTGGAAGACCCCTTTTCCGGACTCATACACAGGACCGGGACGGCTGAAGGTCGCTGGCTGGAGGTGCTCGACTGTGATGAGGGGATCAGGGGCTTCCAAGAAGCTAGCGGCAAGTGAGCGTCCCGGATTCGGGTAGTAGGTAATACGACGTAGTGGCTCTGGGTCTTGACTCAGTGATATCACTCCGTCATAGGCATTTGATGAGGTGACTCGCTGGATTTCGGAGTTGTCTGCGGTGTATTTATTGGCAATCCAGGCGGCTTCCAAAAATTTTCGGCTTTGCGGTTGTCAACAAATTCACGAAACAGCATTCCTTTGGGCCATGTAGAGGACGACAATGCTTTCGCCTTCAAATTTGTAGAGACGCCTACTTTGAAGGAGACAAACGACATGGTTTGGATATCTTTACTCTTAGCAACCAGTCGGATAACTTCAACATCCTCAGTTGACAAACGATGCTTGGCAAGTTCGGTGATCTGCTCAGCAGAAACGTCACGGGAAATCCGAGATAGGTATAACCAAAACTTATCCTTAGAAACGGGAACAATTAGACGGCCTAGACTTGGAGACGGCGAATCTCCGGTACACGCAGAAAAATTTACCGTCGAAACAAAAATATTTTAGGTAAATTTAAACGTAAACTCAGTTTGTTCTGGCCACAAACATAAACTAGGTTGATTTCAAACGTATTCTACGTTTGAATCCATTGATAATAATGTTTAAAACAAAAATAATGTTACGTTTATTTTAAAAATATTCGTGTTGAAAATAAACGTGAATATTTTTGATTTATTTGAAAACTATATGCAATCAAAAATTAATATTTTTATTTTAAACATGCTTTTCATGTTTAAAATAAACAAACATATTTTGAAATTATTTTATCATTTGAATACTGAAAAAATCAAAATAAAATGGATAGCAAATTAATGGAAATTCCTGTGATTATGGAAAGTCTGTGGATGTTTGGATACGGGAGGCCGATCCAGTTCAGTAAAACCGGTGAAACTTTGTGATATTAGCGTCATTTTGTCGTTTCTGACGCTGGTCCTCATACCGGCCTCTTTCTAAGTTTAGTGTTCGGGGATGATCTGTTTTTTATTCGACGTCGGGTAGGGGGTGAGGATGATATGGGGATCGGTATCAGAAACGACGGATTGACGTTAATATTGTGATGTTCCACCGGTTTTGTCGAGCTTGGAACAATTGCTTGCGTGGGTTTCCGGACCCTCTATTTCGGTTTCGCCGCTTGCAGGCCGTTTTCGGTTAAGTTTGCCGAATGTAAAAAAAAGGAAAAAAGGACACGCTAAAAATTGACTACCCAGATTATGTATTGTTGAAATAAACATGCTTTTGAATTTATTTTAAACATACATATTTTTGTTGAAAACATGTTTGTAATTTACTTTGAACTATTCATATTTTTATTTAATAAACATATATATTTTTAACTTAAATGAACAAAATTTGGTACCGTGTAGCAGTCATAAGAGGTGGCAAGTTATTGTCCTTTTTCTCGAATAACCGTCGGCTTCCTATGGTGCGTGACCTATTACCAGACCGTCTAGAGGACACCGGAGTGGTGGAAGTGGTATTGGTCAACTTTGTGAAATTGGATCGAATTTCGATTTTCAATTCCTCCAGAATTTCCAGTTTTAGTTTCCCCAGTAGCTCAGTATGACCGCTCAGTTGTTTCTCCAAACCAGCATCGTAAGCAGCCTTCACGTTTTTCTTGTGACGAACGTCTGACATTATGGCAGCACAGGATTTACACATCCAGAAGAGCTGCCTATTCCGATCGATTTCATCCAACATTTCACTTGGCAGGTGACAGCATTTTAGGTGAAACACCGCGCTACAGAACCCACGGCAGGTAATGCGTTCCTCTTGGACATCATTGGTGCAAGCGTGGCAGATTACACTCATTTTGCAGGAACAAGGCGATGCAGACCAACAACGAAATTCCAACGTAGCGCAATACAACAGTAGGGTCCAGACGACAGCAATTCGCCGAAATTTATGCAGCAGTTACACCACGAGCTCAATGAAAGATTGCAAGCTTAAAAGTTTTGCTGGCAGATGGCGCTTCGGAAAAAAAAATTCGCGTGGGGAGTGCTTGGGAAAGTGTATGTAAACAATGAGTCACTTTCACTTTATCACCGCACCACGAAAATCACAACACACCGAACGAAATTCACGAAAACGGAAAGCAGTAGTACAAAAACTGAATCACGAACGACGAAAAAGTATTTTATAACCGATATAACACCGAAAAAAGTATCACTAATTAACGACCTAATCGCAGCAGAAAACGTAGCTAGCAGTGTTGCCAGAAAAAAATCCATAACCTTAGCATGTTTTTTCAATTTTGTTTTTAAACTCGTAATTTTTATTTTAGGATAGACTCATATTACAATAGTTTTTCAGGTTTTGTACAAGATTCATTCATTTTAATAGCATATTTACACGAACTAGCACTGTAATTAAACAAATTTCCATAAAAATAATGAAATTTCCAAGGGCTGTCACTATCTGATCACCTTCGGATAGTGCTTATTCCTGTCACCAGGCGTGCATTAGTTTAAGTTGGATTCGTCAATAGTTTTTGGGCCTTTTGCGACACACAATACTGCCAAAAGAGAGAGTTGGAGTTAGCTTGCAATTCGGGCAGCAGTTTTTTGATTCTAAATTATATTTGTAGTACTTGTTAGTTGATTTAGTAAAATAAATAGCCCAAGTGTTAAGTGTTGAATCTGTACACTGGTATTTTTGTACTACGCAGAAACCAGCGAAAACGGTGGCAAATTCTCCCACAATAAAGTTTGGTTGCTAATCATCCCACCCCAACCAACCCCACGGATTTTACTGCGCTTGGCGATTTTGGAGAGTAATCTGAAGGGAACCAGTACAGTTATCGAACAGAGATATTATGCCTCAGAACATCCCGGCGGCGCCGACTGGGATTAAATCCAGGCCTGCTGGGGTGAGAGGTAATCACGCTTACCACTACACCACTGGTGCCACTTTAGGTCAGTTACGAACGAATAGTATTGCAAACGTGCATACGGTATGTTTTGTAAATTATAAAACATAATCACTAATTAACTATAAAGAGGTTCTGAATTATGAATTTAAAAGAGTCTTTCGACAACCATCGAGTCGTGTCTTTCTATGTGCTTCGAAAGTACACCACATTCCAAAAGCACAAAGATTCCTAGTGCTCTGGCCTGGACTCGTTTCGGCACCCATATACCAGTTTAGGAATCTCAATCAAGTCAATTCAAAGATTATGCAACCGAGCATACACACTTAGAAAAATTAATGTAAATTTAAGTGCTCTGAGACTGACATATACGAACGTCAACTTTGACATTAAATTGAGTCATATTCGACGCAAAACTCAGCTCAATCAAGCTTCATGGAATAGGTGAATGGGCTTTGTATTAAACGTAGGAGAAATACATTTTAATTTTGATCAAACAAAATCGACAAACTTAATAACATGAACACATGAAAGCACATTAATATCAAGAGATGAAGGTGCTTCGATCTCGCTTTGAATATGATGACTTCTGTGCGTGTGGGCCCACGATGATGTATATTTGATTCGCCAAAACTCTGCCTCCCCCCCTCCTGCCTTTCTACCTTCCCAAATTTTCGCATTAATCATTTACTCCACACTCTTCTAGCTAGCATCAACCAAAGCGCAATTTCTACGGATCCCAAATCTGATACGAGTGGGTAGAAGGCAGAATTCGTTGGTACTCGTAACCAAATTCAGATGAACGGTCTAAATTGATGCTTCTCGAAAATGAATCATTTGATTCTCCGGAACATAAATACCACTTTATCAGTGAAGAAAACACGGGGTAGGTTTTGAAGTAAAATTTGACCTTTTACCTCGATTCAAGATAGGAATTTCCACAATTTGCTTAGAGGACAGTGTGGGGGGGAGAAATCCTTTTTTCAAGAGAGGAAATGAATCTCACTTTATATATTGCGCACAAGGTGTCCTTAATGGACTACCCTTTTTCTTTGTTTAAGCAAGCCAGTAACATGTGTTTCTTATGAATTACGATAGAAAAGGAAAAACACGTGTGTATAGTTAATCAAACTCAGTGTAATTTGTTCCCCCGCATCAACACAATCCTACTCGTTTCGAGGGGCAATTGCCATATAGCACAGCACTTCACCATTCTGATTTTGATTAACGGAAATAACCGCTGTGTCGTCGTCGGACCTATGCAGCACAATCGGCTTGAGCGGCCCAGATCGGGGCAGGTACGGACACTCGTTGGCAAGAGAATTACCCAGCGATTCGGCCAGGGGAGCCAGCTTCTGCTTCGGAGGATAGTTCTTGAATGGATCCACGAAGTAAATTGGCGACGATGACAGCAACATCTTCAAATACTCCAGGTACTCTTCCACCAGTTTCGAATGGACATCCGCTTCGGTGGCCGTTTCCGACAGTTTCTTGATCCACTCCGTCACCCGGACCCGGTCGGCCGGGCTGCTAATCTTCGAAGCCAGAAACATCAGCTCGACGATGGATTCGTTGATTGACGGAGACATGGTTGCTTTTGCACTGCAGTGAGGTGACAAGTGAGGTCAGAGCTTGAATCGATGGCCTTCTGAGACCTCAATCAGTTGGGACAAAATGGTGCCCAACTAATTTTTTTTTTTTTTTATTTCTTTATTCTGAGTGGATGTCATTTTAACGCACGTAAAAAAGGTCAGGACCGAAATGTTCACCGGCCAACCGTCTCATCAACGGTCAGCGCTTGTATAATTGATTTTTTTTTCTGAAAGGATGATTTACTTTTTATAATATAAGCTGTTTGATGTAGAATTCAATCAACCTTTTCAGTTGGATAATTTGCTCTTTCCTCTCGTTAAATGGAGGGTAAACTGTGAATTGTAAGTACAGTTACAGTACTTACCTTACCAATCACGCTAAGACCTTGATGTCCTCTGCTGTCCGAAGAAGTCGTCTCCACTCTACTCGATCCATGGCCACACGTTGCCAGTTTCGTAGTCTGCGAAGGGTCCACAGGTCGCCTTCTACTAAGCACAGTTACAGTTTACTAGTTTTATTAAAGATGATTTTATTTTGTCTGACTCTCTTAGGACCAAGAATTCTAGCAAATTAAGAAAACACTATCTCCGATCTATTTTAACTCACTTCATCCCATATTAGCTTCTGTAATGGTCTTAACACTAAAGGAAAAAAAATCACTCGGACGTGTCAGATTTCCATTGCACTAAAAACTAACCTCCCCAAAGACTCCAATTCCTGTGATAAAAGCCACCTTCTTGCATGGCAGCCAGCTTTCGAAATAAAAATAATCGTTAAATTTTATTCACCGATGAACGAAAATTGAATTTCTCGCACTTTCTGTCACCCGCAGACAAACGGACTTAGCCGCACTCCACCAATATTCGTGTATAGCAAATGGGTCGCATTGAACCGTTTTCGGGAACCATTCTCCCACTACGAAACAACACAGAAGTCAAAGACTGCAGCCGAGAACCAGCTCCAGTTTTCCTTTCAATCGCTTCGGGGCTCAATATCACGTCCATTAGGATTTGTTGTGTTGTTTCTTTTCATTTCTTCGCCTGTGCCGTGCCAACAACCATTGTTAAGAATAAGGAAATTTCTACTCAAGCTGGGAGGGCAAAGTGGAAAAATATGGTCCACACTCCTTGAAAACCCCCTGGCTGAATAGATTCGCCATAACAACGGAATGGGACAAGGGAGTTCCAAGGGGAGCGAAAATTCTTTCAAGATGCAGCAGAGTGCAATGGAGTGGAACGAGGCAAAAATCTTGCATTTTTATGTAGATAGAAAATTGACTTCAGATATGGATTTGCATCTTGGCCTTCGGTGAAAGAGGGGTGGGACATTCTTTTTTGCTGCAGGAGGTCAATCTATGGAAGGTTGTTGTTTTTTTTTTCCAGTTCTCGGCAAATGATAATGGCAATCTTCTCGGAGCGATGCATGATTGAATTCTTTTGACTTTGATGAGAGAAAGGGCTTCGATGTAATCGGACCTTTTAAAAGAATGGAAGAATCTGCAGTCATTGGTTGTAGGAAAATTGCTGGGGTATACGTTTATTATTTATGCTGAGCATTATTTAAATACTCTCTAGTTTCTTAATTGCATAATATACATGTGGATTATACAAATGTAAGGATAAAAATGTTGTAATACTTTGCATCCATGGCTCTCACACTGAAAATAACGAGTTTAAATCTCATCCTGCAATCTAAGCAACCGGTCAGCACTCGTGTTTATTTCAGTTACCGTGGGGACATAATTTGTGATTTAGCCCCGGTCCCTTTCAAATTGAATCATTATTTCAGGATCAACAATAGAAAAGGGCCCATCAGCATTTGTAAACAAACCATTCCAAAGCCCATTCCTCACAAATCGAAGGCTGCCCACACAAACCAACACCATCATCGTGTAGGTGGAATTTTCCCCTATCCGATGATGGTGTTGGTTTGCGTGGGTGGCCTTCGCTTTGTAAGTAAAGGGCTTTGGAACGGTTTGTTTACAAATGCTGATGGGCCCTTTTCTATTGTTGATCCAGATTTATGTACGGTTCAGACTATGGCTTATATCATGTAATATAGGCTGGCTTGCAATGAGCACTCATACATCTAGTTTTCACTGGAAATCCTATATATGAGTGCTCATTGCAAACCAGCCTGTTGTACACTCCGTGTTCGTGGGTTGGAGAAACACAGTGGCTCGGAAAATAGCACCATTACTAGAAACTTCTATTTCAAAGTCTTTATTGCCTGACGATCTGTTGGCTACTAACTGGCCTGTTGTTTATTATCTGTTGTTTTGTATTGCATGGTTCGTTTCGTTTCCTATACTTGCATGTGGTCTATGTACTTCTTTTCTATATGTGTTATCTGTAGTTATCAATGTTATCAGTGTAATAGTGTAGGTGTTGGGATGTTCAAATTGTCAGAGGTGTTTTTGTGTATAACAGTTATGCTTAATTAACTTATTCTAGCTTTAATTTTTAATCGTGGAACGCATGTATGTGTTGTTTTATTCCAGTGTCGTATAAATTCAAACTAACATGCTTCATTACCGGCCCCCTTGAACTAGCTTCAAAATTCATTTTTCAATTCAATCGTTCATCAAATGCTTATTTCTAAGAGCTCGAGATTGCTGGCAGCCCTGAAGACCTCGTAGTTCGTCGATCTACATCATCATTGGGTAGTGGACAGATGCGATTGACTGCCCGCTTATACACACCAGTCGCCGTCTTCACCGTCACTACTCGCACGATTCCGTCTGAGCCTGGGTGTAAGCTGATGATCCTCGCCAGTGGCCAACAAAGTGGTGGCAGGTTATCCTCTCGTAGCACGACGATTCCTCCGATTTGGATGGGGTTGATCGGCAGGTTCTTCGTTGTCACCTGTAGCTGCGTGAGGTACTGCTTGCTCCATCGCTGCCAGTAGCGCTGAAACATTTGCTGGATTTGCTGGTAGTGGTCAAGGCGGTTTGTGGGAATTGACATTACATTGGGGTCAGGAAGGGCTATCATGGCTGAGCCTATCAAAAAATGCGCGGGGGTTAGCGCTTCAAATTCAGTGGGGTCGTCAGATAGAGGAGATAAAGGTCGTGAATTCAGTGCGGCGGTGATTTGAACTAGAAGCGTGGCGAAGTTGTCGTAGCTTAACTGTTGGAGGCCGATCTCCTTCTTCAGCGCAGTTTTCACGGAGCGTACCGCGGCCTCCCATAATCCTCCAAAGTTAGGAGCGCGTGGTGGAATAAACTTCCATTCAATTCCTTGCTGAGAAAGTTCCTTACTGATGACGGTAGAGCTAATCTGGTTATTCAGCAGTTCGTACAGCGCTTTTAGTTCGTTACAGGTCCCTGAGAAGTTTTTGGCATTGTCCGAATGTATTTCAACAGGTCTTCCACGGTAGCCGATGAACCTTCGCAATACTGAGAGAAAACTAGCGGTAGATAAGTCGCTAGCCAGCTCGAGGTTCATTGCTTTTGTCGAAAAGCAAACAAAGACTGCAATATACACTTTCGGGGGAGCTGCATTTCGGCGGGTCGGCTTAAGATAGAGCGGCCCACAATAATCAACGCCAGTTATCTGAAACGGTCGTCCCGGGCGTAAGCGACCGGCAGGTAGCTGTCCCATGGGCTGCTGGATAGGCGTTGGATTGGTGCGGAAACAGCGAACGCATTGCCGAAGCACGGTGTTGACAATACGCTTACCATGTATGGGCCAAAACTCTTGACGTATTTCGGACAATGTAAATTGTGGACCGCTATGGAAATTCTGGTAGTGGAAGAAGTTTATAACGAGATTCGTTAATGGGTGATGACTTGGTAAAACAGCAGGATGCTTGACCGTATAACCTTCATTTGAGAAACGTAGACGTCCCCCAACTCTGATGACTCCGCTATTGTCGAGAAAGGGGAATAGTCTCTTGAGGCTAGACTTGCAGTCGACTCGTTTCTGTTGTTGTAGAGCTTTGAGTTCGTCTGGGAATTGTTCAGCCTGTGCGATACGGGTCAGCGTCATCTTCGCTGATTGTATTTCATCAGGTGCGAGAGTGGTCGAGCTTTTTCTATCAGTTGAGTTGCGACAGTTGTAGGCAAAACGACGACAGTAAGCGACGATTCGAAGTAGAGGAGGCAATGAAGAACGCAAGCTGAACAGCTCGTTGGGTGGTTCCGTGACTGTGACCTTGTGAACAGCCTTGCGAGTTTCCAACAGTTCTTCGGGGATGCTGTAGTCTTCTAAAGAATTGGGCCACGCATCTTCGTTACTACTCAACCATGGGGGTCCTTGTTTCCATAGCTGGCTATGTAGAAAATCATCAATAGCCATTCCGCGAGAAACCAAGTCAGCAGGGTTCTCCTTTCCCGCTATATACCGCCAAGAATGTGTGTAAGTGGAGGTTTGAATCGTCGACACTCTGTTAGCCACGAACGTATGTAATGTGTTAGGAGGAGTTCGTAGCCAATGTAACACAATCGTACTGTCCGACCAGAAAACCGAACGTACATTTTCCAAGGAGTGTAGTAGTGCAGCTTCCTTGGCGGCACAAAGTTCAAGTCTTGGTAAGGTCAATCTTTTGAGGGGAACGACGCGTGATTTTGAGGAAAGCAGCTCGATTCGAACGTTTCCTGCTTCATCCGTCGTCCGTACGTATAAACACGCACCGTAGGCAAGAGTAGAAGCGTCAGTGAAGCAGTGAAACTGAATATCCACCCAATTGGACACGAAAGCAAATCGACTGATTCGTAGTTCCGATATTTTGCCCAACTGTGAGTGGAATGCTTTCCATTTCCTTTCAATGTCGACCGGAACAGGCGTATCTCATCCTGAGTTGAGCAGAGCGAGCTCTTGCATCAGCATTTTTGCCACAACAATCACCGGTGATATCAGTCCCAGCGGATCAAATAGTTTGGCTATGGACGACAGGATGCGTCTTCTCGTCCACGCTTGCTTGCTTGCTGTGATGCCATAGTAGAATCGTAATTGGTCCGTTCCAGGCTCCCAGGTGATTCCCAAAGTTTTCACCT